GCATATCGCTGTGGCATGAAAAGTGTTTGTACAAGGAGTCGATTAGTGTATTCAGCTCGGAGCGAGCGACATGCGAGTTTTATGGACTAGGAAAGGCACAGTCAGGGGAGGAGGACAGTAGCAGAAGGGACAGTCATACGTAACCAACATCGCACAGCCCATCCACGGCTCTGTGTATGGCATAGGACAAACTCTGGTAAGTGGTCAACTGGATGGAGAGGTGACGATTGGGACTCCCCTCGAACGCCTCTCGCCTGTGACCCTGAACTCACCACATGGCCATCCTCCCCTAGCCCCTACCCCGGAGACTCCCCCAGCAAAGGAGCAGCACACATCTCCTCTCAAGAAGAAGCTAAGTACCACTATCAATGGCTGTCGCAGATTGTTTATGTTGGGAATAATGTGAGGAAACTGATGATGATGTGCGCCTAATCGCCTAATCAGCGTCAGTAAATATGTGACACAATGGTACAGAATGATAGTACACAACAGTGGCCATACAAGTCAACTTAACAGCTAAGACAAGTCGAAGGGAATAACTATTGTCCGATGGGATTGGCCATTGATAAGTTATCGGTAGTGTACGGCATTGAAGCCATAATCCTTGGGCAATAGAATGATCTAGAATTGGTGATTAATAAATGTGTTGACCAGAGTCACCAAGTGAGAATTGTATAAATACCAGGCTTTTGTTCAGGTAACTGAACCAGCTCTAATGCCTAAAATAATTACGGAGAGATAAATATAATTCACTAGATGCAAGTTTATTGAGGCGAATCTGATTCATCAGTAGAAAGCTTACTAAATTTGTCTTGTAAGTCGGACATAGTCATTGTAAGATGAGTAACTTGGATCTAACGAGTTCTATATATCTTTCTGTGATTACTTTAGGCTTAGAGTTGGTTCAGTTGCCTGAACAGAGAAGGTAAATCAATTTGTATGGCCCTAGTTGTGTACTATCATCCTGTACCACTGTGTCACATATTTCCTGACGCTGATCTGTTTGTACAAGGAATGCCAACCTTCGCGCAGTCCTTAACTATGTAAATTGCCAAACCTTCGCAGCAGCGATTAGATAGCGCTGTACGAAATTGCGAAGGTTGGAGATAGCTCAAAAAGTGAAACTGTGATATTATGAAGCACGTCCCTAGTATCAACAGCCCGCTTGAGCTGTCCATGCAAAAGGAATCCTATTAGGACCACCTTACGTTTTTGCAGCAATCTTGACTGCAAAAGCCCTTAGAATTCACGAACATGAGAGCTTGTGCAATGCAAGGTCACCAATTCTAGATGTTTTTGGCATAGGGGTGAGAGTACCCTTTGGTGTCGTATTTGTAATCATTGGAGCGGATATATAGAGAGTAAACTGTGTCCGTGAACGTCTGCTTGTATTATGGAATTCAAGGGCTTGCGTCATCATAAATCGACAATGGAAGAGGTTTTCAGCATAGCTCCGCAACCATCAACTGAACTTGGAAGGTATCGCGTCCTCTCAAGAAATGCAGGAATAAGGGTTTCCCCTTTAGTCCTCGGTGCTATGTCTGTGGGGCAGGCATGGGAAGATCAGATGGGCTCTATGGACAAAGAACAGTCTTTTAAGCTATTGGACGCATTCTACGAGGCGGGCGGCAATTTTATCGACACTGCCAATGCATACCAAAACCAAGAATCGGAAGAATGGATTGGTGATTGGATGGCCTCTAGGAAAATCGCGATCAGATGGTGATAGCAACGAAGTATACGTCGGACTACAG